ATACATATATTTATAAATATATATTGCTTTCATGGGTCAAAAGAGGGCTTTGGAAACTGACTGTTCAAAAGGCATTTTAGTTTACACGAATTTTCCTTACACCTCACTCTAGAGGGGAATGGGTACCCAGAGCTACAGACAGAGCAAAAGACCTGTCCCTGTCAGTTTGTTAGTACGGTGTTTGACCGCTTTTTAAATCCGACACTTGCTCTGTGCGCTTCCGGGAAGCCATCACAATAAGCCATCACAATGATTTTCTCCAAAGTGTTCTTGGTTCTTCTGGGGCAATTTAATTCAGTTGAAACAGCGAGGGTGTACGTTTGTGTGTTTGTGTGAGTGTGATGTTAAAGTAAATGGGGGCGGGTGGTTGGTGGATGCATGGCGTGGTTTGCTCCTTCTTTCCTATCAAACATCTATCGTCCTTATATATACAAATCTCGCCTCCTTTACTGAGTGTTTGTTACGAGTCTCTTGTAACACTTCTCTAATCTTCAGCACTTATATTTTTGACCTTATTGTGTTGCAAGTGCCATAAAAATCTTACTTAAAGCTAAACTAAAAATGGTTTCACAATGTTCATTTTCTGTCTTCCAAATCATCCGCTGAACTGATTATTTGATGATTTTGTTTTGTAAAGTTTAGAGCCGACTATAGATTACATAACAGCTATTTAGGTAAAAAAATATAACTTTATATATATATATATTGTTATCATTTACATATTTTTATATAATTAAATTAAATATATTTTTAAAATGTGAGTACGGGGGCAAAAGATAGCACAAAACGGAAGCACGACATCAATAATATTATGATGTATGATAGATGAGGCGCATTAAAATAAATTATAGATCTAATGGCCTAATAACGACATTTGTAAACACAATTTATAATTAATTATTATATATATTACAACCCGGTTATTTTTTATAAAGATCCCATCCATCGGGGGGAAAAAAAAGTGGGGAATGCAGAAATCATCCACCTCTTTAAATCCTACTTTTTAAAGCTTTTATATTATTATTATTAAATAACTACAATTTTTTTATCATATATGTGGACAAACCTTCAGCACACATCTGTCATGACACTGAGAAATCAGGCACTCGGTTTGACAGAGTTCTACTGATTTTTAAAGTACAGCAAGAGTTTTAAGACACAATTTAAGTCTTAATGTGAGGGCTCCAGAGTTCGGTAATTTTTAAAACAACTCGGTAGTTCCTAGCAGTGCCTTTTTCACTCAGGCGACAACCCTTCCGCAAAAACTTTCTTTTTTTTTTCATTGAAGATCTTTTCTTTTTAACGAATTTCATTAAAATGTGTAAAAAATGTTTAACTGGATGACCTAGTCATCAGGTGTATGGAAGATGAATCATGATCCCATGTAAAACCAATATATATATATATATATAATAGTAAAAGTTACTCTGTTACAATATTATAATAATTATTTAATAAGCCTTGCAGCTTTGTCTTTACACGAAATAATAGTTTTTAGTTCATATTTTATTAAAAATTATTTTCACTCAAAAAACAAATTCTGATGAAGTTCAAAGCACACTCAGTAACCAATCTTAAACTTAAAGGATTGGAGATGAAATAGAAAAGCGAAATTATTAAAAAATTTATCTATGGGGCCGCTATATATTTCACTTTCCTCACATTTGTCAAAGAGGTAACATGCTTTGCTGCCATAAATTATAAAGTCTTTTAGAGAAGAGAAACAGAGTTTAGAAGTTAGAAGACGGGGACAGACAGGTTATAAAATGAAAGACGGTTCAAGAAAACAACACTTCGGCCAAATTTTACACCCTCCTCAATCACCTACAGATTGACGTTTAAAAATTAAAGATTTGAAGAGATTATTATTTTAAACTTTAAAAAGGCTTAGAGGCTACCTTCTAAACCAAGAAAATATAGAAACCTAAGCCTTGAATCACAGCAAAGGGTGGTTGTTGTAGACAAACTGATTCAACATCTAAAAAAATAAAATCAGTCAGGAATTATATTTCAATCTTTCTCTGATTTGTGTGTGTGTGTGTGTGTTAATTCGAGTGTCGTGTGTGATATTCTAATGCTAGATCTATTAAAAATGCTCTATAATTATGCGAGTTGTCGTGCCTACCTGATCAGCTGTAAACCGTTCATAAATATGTAGGCTATTGACAATATTGAAATAGACTATCGAGCCAGATCAACAAAGTTTTAGGTATAAAGATGAAGGTGTGATTTGCAAGACCATCATGTATATTATATTAGTTCTGTTAAAAATAAATTAGCTAATTTAATAGAAGTGTACGTTAACTCAGATTTTGCTTGAAGAGAAGCTAGACCCTCACTTTCAAACATAAAATAAAGTCTTAAAATTAACTCTTTACACCAGACAATGTTTTTTGCCTTATTTAAACAATTGTTCAACTGGAACAGTTTGGACGAAGATTTAATTTACATACATTAATAATTTGTATTTGTAACTTCAAAAAAAGTTTTAAAGGCTGATCCTCCGAAACTCTACACTACTTTACTAGATAATTTTGGAGACATATTATTATAAAAGCAAAGTCATTTCGTCACACATAATTGGGGGTTGACTAGATGACCGTGTGAGGAAATGACTGGTTACCAAAATTTGTGAGGCATCATGGTAAAATCAGGCGCTCGTCAAAATTTAAGAAATTGGAGAAACAGTTTTAGGCAATTTTTATATGAATTTTTGTTTTTTGGCTTCAAACCCTGTCCAGGCCCTACAAAAATATATTTCCACGTGAAATTAATTGAAAAAAACATTGATTAAAGGCACAAAACGTAATTTTAAAATTATCAAGGACTCTTACTTTTGTACAACTTTACAAGGAGTTACCAAACTTTGATGGCCATTTTCTCAATTAAAAGGCTAATTTCACCAACTGAAACCAGGTGACCTCACCTCCTTTAAATGACAAATTCTTAACTGCTTCCACTGTGTTGTGACAATGTATAATTATTATAAAAAAGTATTTCATGTCATAGACTTAAAATTTAAACACTTGGATCATGCTCATTCTCGGATCAGCAAGAAGACAGTTTAGGGAAGACTTTGAGACGGATGACATCTTGTGATGCTCAAAATTGATCAAATTAAAGGAAGGACTTCCGTAACGAGCGACCACCCCATCAAACACTCAATAAAGAAGAGGCCTAGACCTTCCTAAGCCTACCCCTACCCCAAGCCCTCTGCTCTGTCTCATAGTGGTCGCTTGTTACGGAAGTCCTCCCAAATTAAAAATGTATATATATATATTTAAAAAGGAACCAAAGCAATACAAGGAGGAAGTGGAAGACAACATCCAGTGTTGAAATTTAAATGTCTGCTGCTGTGAAGGCTTTGTCTGAAAGGAAGTGTCCATTTGATAACATTTTAACAAAGTTTTGGACTTCTTGACAGACTAGACAACTTTTTTACTAAGGGTACAGATCCAGCCTAGATTCTAGATCTCTAGTCTATATAGAATGATTTTTAGAAAGAATTAGGGTCCCAAATAAATTTTTAAAACTTTGTTTAAAACACGACCCAAAGCTATCCTGAAGTCCAAAATCTGGCCCATCACTTGTAATCCAATAGGAGACTATTAGAACTGATAGCCTATCTCTATCTTAGAGCCATTAGAGCTAAAAATCTAGATTCTAGAATCCAGATCTAGACTAGACATCTAGATCTAGATCTAGATCTATCTAGATCTAGATCTAGATCTAGAATCTAAATCTATATGGTATAGATCTAGATCTAGATCTAGATCTAGGCCTAGATCTAGACTCTAGGCCTAGATCTAGAAAGACAGAGAATTTAAATGTATCTAAAAAAGAAAAAAAAGAAAAGACCAATTAATTGGAAGACTTCGTCGTTGTCAAACCTAGGCCTACCTTCAACAGCAAGTGCAAGATGTGTCAAAAGGCTCGGGGAGCATTCCTCCAAAGTCCTGCAAAACTCGGAAAAAACTGTCTTGTCTTTCGCTGATATAATATCCAGCAACAACTTAGTCCTCTCCTGAGGAACAGTCGGGCTAAGAACTTGTTTTTCTTCAGACACCGTGAAAACGCCCCTGCGAAGCAATCGAGGAAGAACTTTGTTTATATCCAGCTCTTGCACAAACTTCGGTCTCACTCGTTCAAGTTGACGGGCTATTCCACTTTTGCCCGCCATCTTTGATGCTCTGTTCGAAAGGATCGGCGGCTACCTTTTATTTACATTCATCACAAAGGCACGTTCGAGCCAAAGAATCTATTTAGAGCAGACACATTTCACTTTACTCCATTGAAAGTCACACAAAGTGCTGTGCTACATTTTGCACAGGTAATTGAGATGAAATCGAAAATTCTACCGGCCAGTGAAACGAAAAAAAGGTACAAAAAGTGTCCCGCTACCGTAGCAGAAGCTATCCTGCTATCCCCTCGCTCGCATGGGATTGTGACACGACCTAATTTTTTGTTATCGGGGGTGAAGCTCGATCATGTTGACAAAAGAACTTTCCAGTTAAACTTCTAGCAGTTTCAAAAGACCTTGCTCGGTCTGAATCGATACAAAAGATAAAGGGAAATCTTCAAAGTTCTTAGAGAAAGTTCAAAGCAAGACGAATTCGGTAATTTTCAGAGCAAAAAAGAACCGAACCTTTTCCATTTCCTTGTTTGTCAACTTTCACCTCTGACTTCGTTACCAGGCTTTGAGGACGCTATCGACGCAGGGGCAGCTACTGCGAAATTCCAAATATGTAAATAGAACCCGCTTGTCACCCTTGGTGAAACGAATCACCATAGAGTTGTCTCCTTTTTTTAAAGTGTAAATCTGTGGTTACCACAAACTGCTGAAAGTGAACGTGAAATCAATCAAAATTGCTCAAGACGGCGACCCACAGTTGAAATGACAAATAATTGTTGTCTTAGACAGGTGGTAGTCTAGATCTAAAACTGTAGAGGAGAGAGGGAGTGGAAAGTGGTCGTGTGTAGCCTACAGGTGATTATTTTAAGCAGATAGTCGTTAGAAGAGCAAGCTTGTCTGCATTCCATTAGGCCTATGACTCTAGCAGATAGTCGTTAGGGCCTAGAAGAGCAAGCTTGTCTGCATTCCATTATGACTCCTGGGATAGGCCTACTGGGATGTAGATCTAGATCTAGAGTCTAGTATCGCATTTTTATTATATCGACTTGGATGTAAAAACGTTGTTTTTTAAAATTAATTAATTAATTAATTAATTATTCTTTCACTCTGGAAAAGGGGGAAAAAACAGGATTTATTTTTAAAAAATGCAGTAGGCTTACAGACTACAGACGATTTTCATGCTGTAAATGTTTTAAAGTCCACTTTTGGTTATTTATTTGAATATGAATTTTTAACCAGAATTTTATGAAACATGCTTTGCAGAGAATGCGTTTCGAGGAAAAGAGAAATCGAACATTAATTTGTAGTTATCCGATCGTATTATGATGGCGACGATCTGTGTCTGGTTAAAAGGCCAAGGACGCCCCAGTTTCTCGTTGAGAAGATAGGTCTCTGTCTGTGTCCTGATACCACTGTGTCGGCTGTGATCTTTATCTTTGTTGTCATATCGGAGACGGACGTTTATTTAAGACGCGGGTCCTGTATGTCTTCTTCTTCTTCTTCTTCTTCTTCTTCTTCTTCTTCTTCTTCTTCTTCTT